TGGTCAAGGTGTCTCTGTGGGACCCTCCAGTCCCATAACTCTGTGGGCCCTCTGGCCCTAACTCTGTGGACCTTCCGGTCCTAACTCTGAAAACTCTGTAACATACATAGCATATAACACATAGAAATCACATCATGCAAAAGCATACAACATACTCTGTCTCATAGCTCTAATTACCACTCTAGGTAAAGTATAGTGAGAAGACTCACCTCGGGTAACTCGGTAAAGCTCGAACTCTGTAAAATCAGGTCTAGCCTCCGCCTAATCATGTAAAATAAATACTCTCAATCAATACATCTCTCAAGGCTAGACTATTCCTCCTCTTAGTACTCTCAGAAGGGTAAAAGACCATTTTACCCCTCTCATAACTCAAAGGCCCCACTATAGACCAAACCCTAAAAGTCAACCAAAAGTCAACCCTCCGGGTTACGCTGCGCGTACCAGATGTGTACGCTGGGCGTACCCGGCAGTCTCTCAGAATCGGGGAACGCCACCCCGTACGCCGCGCGTACTGGGATTACGCCCGGCGTAAATCCCAGTTTCAGTCCCTTAGCTCTTGAGGTCTTAAACAGTTAAGACTCACGTCCAACTTTTAGATCTGACCATTTTAAGCCTCTTAATCCATAAAGTCGATGACTTTAAGCCTTTGCATGGCTGAACAAGTCACTAACACCCAAAATATACCATTTCCTAACACTAGAAAGCCCAATACTCAAGCATGATCTCATATCCACGACCAAGATGGGAACTTTATGGATCTATAACACAAATACCACTGAAATGGGACAGATCTAGGTCCATGGAGCACATTACACTCATAAAGTCTCCACCTTTGGGACTTTTAACCCTAAAATGGTCCATGAAGCAACAAACCAAATGAAGAGGAAAGTTTTGAACTTTATACCTCCAAATGCAGCTCCTTCCTCTGTAGATCTCAGATCCAAACTTGCACTTCAAGCTCTAGTCTCCACAAACTCCTCTCCTTCTTCTTCACTAGCACACCAAGGCACTTTTAGCTCCAAAATCACACACACTCACTAAGAACGATGAAAAGTTCTCTCTTAGGGTTTTACTCACTGCTATGGAGGTTGAGAAATGAGCCTTAGCATCCAATATATAGGGCACAAGTCAGAAATTAGGGTTTGCACCTGGACACATTACGCCCAACGTAACCCTGAGTACGCCCAGCGTACTCAGGCGAGTCCGCGTCCAAAATAAGCGCATGAGTACGCGCAGCGTACTCTTGAGTACGCCCAGCGTACTCATTTGCTACCAATTCCTCTTAAGGGCTTAACTTGACACTTTGAATAAAAGAAGGGCTAAATAGTTGTACCTGAATTTCGGGATGTTACCTTTGTGGAGAGAAGGGGACACCAACATATATAGTCACTTATAAGACCGTGTCTCATCGATGTTTGACAGTAACATTCCTCAACCCTTGTTCTCAACATTTCGTACCAAGCTCGGTGTTGGAGAAAATTTCATGATTTGCTTGAGAGTGTATAAAGGATAATAACAAAGATTATGAAGATCCTCTTAAAAAAATAATACAATTCGTTAGACAACAAATATATACTAAGACCATCTTCAGTTGTTGCACAATGTTATCAATTAAAATAAGTGTCATCTCACCATATAATTAATCTTGACCTCTAAATAAGTTACCACTCTAATGGTTAGGCATTTTTTTTAAACTAATTTACTATCATCTATTTAAAATGTTTTATAATACCTCTACATTTCATTATTGGATTTTTAAACACAAATAATATTTTAAGACAAACGTATAAATACAAATATATCGTTTCATTATTTATATACATAAAATACGAAAAATGATTATAGTACAGTTTCAAAATTAAAATAAAAACATTGAAAACATTATACTATCGTCATAAAATTTATATTTTATAAAAAGGTAAAATGAAATATGGTTAAAATAGAAGAGATTATTTGTACAAGTTAGTAAAATATATTAACCATTTAATATATATTGAGTGGTAAAAAAAAACTATCAAGTCCAATGGTATTAGGTTGTCAAAAAACTAAATATATAGTAATAAGTTATAAAAAAATATTTTATTGGAGATACTCTAAGATATTAAGATAATATTAAAATTTTTAAAAAATATTATATTTAAAAAAATTTCTTTTATTTTGATCATATATACTAAAAAAGACTTCATATTCTGTTGGTGACCGACTTATAAGATAAAATAGTTAAATTGTAAATAATTATCGGTTTTTGAAATTTAATTAAATTAAAAATATATATATAAATACTAAATAATTATAAAACCAAATATAATTTTTTTTATTTTTATATGTCTACTTTAAAATACCTTTTGCATCATTAACAAAGACAATAAAATATAAAAGACAAAACTGTACAAATGGTCCTTGTGGTTTGCTCAAAATTGCCACTTTGGTCCAAAAAAGTTTGGACTAGCACTAGAGGTCCAAAATTTTCATTTTGTTGCAAGTTTGGTCCAATTTGCTTTGAACTTTTTTATATTGACGATTTTTACCCTTACTTTTTTTCTTTTTCCAGTATTTTTGGTTTATTTAAATACTTTTCTAATTAAAAGAAAAATAATAAAAAAAAAATTATATTTTCTATTTATTTTTATAATTTTTTATAATAGAAAAAATCTCTCTCTCTCTCTCTCTCTCTCTCTCTTTCTCTCCAGATCTTGTATGAATGGATGAATGAAAGGCTGTTGATTTCTGAAGATAATCAACGTTTTAAATGAACTTCTCAAAATTGGACTTCGGTTTAAGCATACTAAAATGATGTAAACTCAGGTCTTCGATTTCAATAGATGGGAAAAAGGATGAAAGGGTGTTCATCTTTCAAACTCAACAGGATGTAAACCCTAGAAACCCTTTCTCCAGATTCTTTCGATTCTTGATTTACGTACTGAAACAATGTAGTGTCATGGTGGGTTTCCAAAGAAGGAAGAAGATAAAGATGTAGAATGGAGGACCTGATTTAAGTTATCGATTAGGCCTTTTGTTCAAGATCTGGATTAGCTATCACTCGTCTCCGCCTAACAATCAGATGGAGAATGGACAACCGGTCTCCAACGAATTCCTTTGTGGTTTTACTCCTCATCGACGACGACTAACAAATCAAAAGGATCAAGCCATATCAGCAGTCGACCGTTGGGTGTTTGGCAGGTATCGATGAGCAGAAAGAATGGAAAAATAAAGAGGATGGGGGTTGTGCCCTTTTCGGTGGCCTTCATCTCCGCTTTGGTCATCTACAGGGTTGTAGAGATCAAAAGGGATCGCATAAATCGAAAGAGGGGTTTGGGGTTGCTAATCGACAGTGAAGGGAAATTGCCTCCTCTTTGGTAACCGGAGACTCCATGTCCGATGACAGGTTTCACCCGAGAGAGAGAGAGAGAGAGAGAGAGAGAGAGAGAGAGAGAGATTTTCTTTTTTATTTTTTATTTTTTCTGTTATAAAAATTATATAAATTAAATAGAAAAGGAAAATTTTCTTTTTTCTTTTGTTTTAATCTGAAAAAATCTTTAAATAATAAAAAAAATGAAAAAGAAAAAAGTAAGGGCAAAATCGTCATTATGAAAAAGTTAATAGTAAATTGGACTAAACTCGCAAAAAAATGAAAAGTTTGGACCTCTGGTGCTAGTCCAAACCTTTTTGGACCAAAGTGACAATTTTTGACAAACCACAGGGACCATTTGTGCAGTTTTGTCAATATAAAAAAGAAAAAAAAAACGGTTAGAATGAACTAAACATGCAACAAAATAAAAGCAGATGAACTAAACATGCAACAATAGGGAAAATGCCTCTTGAGGGTAATTAACTTTTGCGTTTGTACTCATTTGGTCCATTTCTTTTTTTTTTTGTATTCAATATACCATCAAACTTGTTGTTTGCGTTCACCATAACCCTTTTGACCGGCTTTTGACCTGTGATAGCCGGTCAAAGGGTTATGGTGAATACAAACAACAAGTTCGATGGTATATTGAGTACAAAAAAAAGGAAAGGGACCAAATGAGAACGAACTCAATAGTTGGTTACCCTCCTGAGTCATTTTCCCCGAAAACTTAAATGAAATTAAAGTTGCAAAATTATCAAAGACTGCAACCTTCTTTGGCTATAACGTATATGAAGAGCGTTTCAAAGGGGTAACCTCGTTAAAACATGGTCTATGATATGCTTACTGTAGTTAGCTGTCAACACCTCTCTACAAAAGGATATGACTGTGTATGAGAAGTATATTTATCAGCATAAACGTTTACCTCAAGGTATATTATGGTGATGTGTCTACAAAAGCAGCATGATATTGTACATATTGATGTTGTATCTTATCCCATGAATTCGATCTTAAAGCTAATTAAAATCAAAAATCACAACACTTGTGATTCCACTCGTTTGTAGACTTGTCTAGAATCCATGATACGATAAATCATTTGATTGGAAATGTAAATGTAGTCATGAAATGCGTCTGCTTAGTCAAGATTCCCCTAATAAATATTCAAGTGCATTACAAAGTTGTACATGTATGAATAATGTTCTTTCGTGGGTTATGTTTTGAAGAGAAGCAAGAATGAATCTCATAAAGTCATTAATATCAGTAGGAGATGACGTGAGATTTGTTGTAAATGAGTAAAGGGAAAATTAATCAGGAGGGTAACCAACTGTTGCATTTTTTCTCATTTGGTCCCTTTTTTTTTTTGTACTCAATATACCATCGAACTTGTTGTTTGTGTTCACCATAACCCTTTGACCGGCTATCACAGGTCAAAAGCCGGTCAAAAGGGTTATGATGAACACAAACAACAAGTTCGATGGTATATTGAATACAAAAAGGAAATGGACCAAACGAGTACAAACGCAAAAGTTAATTATCCTCAATAGTCATTTTCCCGCAACAATATTCGATGTTAGAGTATTTCCTTCGAACCACTTTGACCATTTTTGTAGTTTAACTCTTTTTTAGATATTAACTTGAAGAACAGCTGAAGTGTTTCACGTGGGCGGACTTGAAAGTGAAGCTCCGAATTTAACCTGACGGTTTAATTTGATTTCACGTCCGTCAATCGTCCCCCTAATTATTATACGCGGCTCTCTCTTTCATCAATTCATCATATGATCATTCCTTCCTCGCAAAGGTTTCTCAAAAACCCTAAAAACCTTCCCTTCGTCGTTTCATCGTTTTCAAAGTCGTCGGAAATCGAAACCGGAATCACAATCTGCAATCAAACGCACCTCCGTCAAGTTCCCCCATCGAATTAGGTAACAAGTCGTTAGCTCTTTGTGGTTCTGGTATAAATCTGTTTCGGTGTGTTTGTATGGATGATATGCGGTTCTCGTACTGCTGTTAGGGAACTGTTTTGGCGTGGTTTACATTTTTGTGACGTGTTTTATTGAGAAAAGAAAGGTTTTGCGGTGAATTGATTGAACTTGAACGGTTTATTTGTGGAAATTTGGGGTTTAATTTGTTTTGGCTTGATAGCATTAGTTCGTGTGCTCTATCTGACAAGTAACAGTACACGAGAACGCTAATTCTTTATAAATTTGACATCGAATTTGAGAAGATGTACTAGTCTTATGCCAACAAGCGATTATCTTTGGTTCTAGTTGCTTCCCATCTTGCAATGTTTTAAAAAGCATGTCGATTTGTTGATTCTGAACCATGGGCTTATCGGCATTTGAAATTTGAATGGTGTCTTTCATAAAGGGAATTTGAAATGGATATAGGCTAGAAATTAATCTTTTTTTTCTTCTATTGAATGGGTTTGCTGGTGCCTTTTAGATTGCTGAGAGAACATTGGTGAATGGTAGAATATAGCAGACACTAGTGATAAATGGCTTGTATTCATTCTTGAGACTTTTATAAGGTGGCCAATAGTTTTTTGTTGATCATTGTTCCCCATGTAGCAGCTGTAGAGGTGGAGGTTAATCATATGGTTCTTGATTAGGGATCAGGGATATATCACAAACACACAATTGAATCTTTGATCCTTCATTATGTCATGGGTGTACACATAAGTTTTGGTCTTAATTTATCAAGATTAAATGTCTGATGGAATTTCTGCAGATGGCTACAAAGCCCCTTACAACTGCTGCAATAGCAATGACAGAGAAGAAAATGGACATGTCATTAGGTAGAAACAGACTCAGCACACCAATATCTTTTCCTTGCAGTTGCATGTTATTGTATTAAACTAAACTCAATGTGTCTGTCGTTTCTGCTAGATGATATCATTAAAATGTCCAAGACTGGATCCGGCACCCGCACCAATAAAACCAAGAAACAAAGAGTTCCTGTAAGCGTCTCCTCTTTCAGATTTCTCCTAAATTTACTGTTTTGTGATTCTAATCTGATTTGATGCAGAATAAGAATCATAATTTTACAAACAATGATGTTGAAGATAATAAATCTATGAAGTTACACCGCTATATGGACACAAGATCCTCCCTTAGACAGGTGTTTGTCATGTCATAAGACTTATAACATATTAACATAGCATATTTTGTTAGTCATGAAAGACATGATTTTGTCAATGATGATTGACCCTTTTTGTTTATAATTATAAATTACCAGGGTGTTCTTTCTCAGAGGAGATCTAGCTTTCAGGGTAACCAATTCCCTCTAGCAGTTGAAGCTGCTAGAAAAGCTCCTATTCGCAGTAGAAACTTCATGCGGAATCAACCAATGACTTCATATAGACCAAGGCAAGTTGTTTGTTTTTCTTTAATAACAAGTTGTACTTCATCTCTTATTGCTGCAATAATCTGATTATAAATGTTGTTAATTTGATTTGATATGCAGGGGGGCTAGTGTACAGAATAGGGGTGTTGCAAATCAAAAGCAAGTGAAGAAGGTGTCAAACCAAAAGCAAAAGCAAAGGCCTCAGACATTGGATTCCTTATTTGCAAACATGAAGGAACAAAGGATGAAGGTTTTATCTCAAAACAATAACACAAACACAAGAAGAAGAACAGGTGGAGGTGTTCATGCCCAGCAAAGGCCAACACCCCCGTGGACCAGATCATATAACTACTAGAATAATAATACTCTTCTTCATTTTCTATTCTTCCCCATACTTTTTCCATTTCTTCAAAATATTGCCACATCATGCTTTAATCGGAAAAAAAAAAAAAAAACTAGTCTTGAATGTTGATGTATATATAGATCTATTAAAATGCACACCAGATTTTGTATTGGGCTAGTGTCATGTTTTCGGTATTTTGGTTATGTTTGTGTAGAATGTCAACGAATGTGGATTTCATGTTCACAAATTCTGTGTTTGAATTTGTATTTTAAAACAAAACTCTGGAAACGATAAAATAGAAAAAAAAAATTTATATTAAATAGTATGGTAGTTGATGATGTTGGTTGGAGGTAGAATTGTGAGTATAGGATTATTTATTGTTTTAAATTAACTAGTTAATAAATATATGGATAAATAAAAAGATGATTGAATTTTGATCTACAAGAAACATAGTTTATAAGGATATAAAAAACAAATTTTGATATGCAAAAACATATCATGCTTAATGTATAGGGAAAATGACACAAATGTCCTACGAATTTTTTAGGGTTTGATGAGTCCCTAAAGTTTTTGTCGGACTTTTTGGATCTTTAAACTAGGATATGATCTGTTTTTTTAGTCCATGTCAACCTGTAATAGCCGGTTCAACATGCGACATTGACCAATTAGACCAAAAAAAATCATATTGTACCCATATAAAACCAAAAAATAAGTTCGGGGGATCAAAAGTTAGTATCACCTTCATCTCCACCCAATAACACCCTTATTCCACATTCCTCACAAACTCCTCCGTCAACCCGTCACCCTACCTGAACCAACTGCTCATCAACATTTTATTCAATCATTACAACCACCATAACCCACTTTAATCGCCCTCGAATCAATATCACAATAGCCCAATCCAACCACCCTTATTCCTCCTCTTTGTCTTGTGAAATTAGCCACCACCAGAGCACCCATAACCCACAAAAACCACCAGTCAGCCACCATAACCACCATAACCAATCACCTGCAAATCGAAGAAAAAAAAAAGATTAACTCTCGTTTTCTCTATAAACCTCATCAAACCCGCGCATCCTTCTCAACCTCTCATCCATCAAACCTGTAACTCGGAGGGAGAAGGAGAGTTAGCTTGTGCGATTTTAAACAGAGAATAAGGAAGGAGGAGTCAATTCTTTGAAGAGCTGAAATTGAATCAAAGAAAAGAGTTGAAGGAGCTGTGATCAAGAATCGATTAGAAGGAGAAGAGGGTTGTGATCTTCGGTGAGTGTGTGTGACAATCGAAGGTGAAGACGGAAAGAAGAGCAACAATCGGTTTCTTGGGAGGGTACGAATTGAGTGTGAATCGGCTTTAGAAGACAAGGAGAGTTAATAAAGTCAATTTTTGTTGCTTGATGATAGTATACACGAAGACACACAAGAAATCGAACGGGCTGCTATCTTTCATTCTTCTCCCCAATCACTTCGATCTTGTGGCATGGACATTTTGATCCCCAAGCTTATTTTTTTGGCTTTATATGGGCACAATGTGAGTTTTTTTGGTCTAAATAGTCTCTGTCGCATGGTGAACCGGCTATTACAAGTTGACAGAGACTAAAAAAACAGGTTGTATCCTAGTTTAGGGACCCATAAAGCTCGATAAAAACTTTAGGGACTCAATGGATAAACCCTAGAAAGTTCGTAGGACATTTGTGTGATTTTCCCTAATATATATTGAATGGAGACATTTATGTGGTTGAATAAATAAAAATGAATCAATACCAACTACATTTAGATTTATATAAACTACTACAATAAATGAAAAATCATATAATATAATCAAAATTATGATGAAAATCAGACAAAACATTAGTGATAAAGATAAAAATGAAAAAAGACAATTAAATAATAAAATTATTATTCATGCATTCCAAACGTTTGTATCTACTCTAATAAATGAATGTTTTTTTTTGTCATTTGTCATACTCCCATTCAAATTGCCAAATGTAATTTTGTGGTTATTTTGAATTAATTTGTATTTTCACATGTCATTTTATAAGTTTTTCTATTTAATTAAATTTCACATAATATTTAATGTAATAATTACAATAAATGTAGTAATAAATGAATATTAATTTCATTAATAAACTTACATTTTAATTTGAAAATTTCCAAAGTTAATGCGCATTAGTTTTTTTTTTTGTTTATTTATTTAAATTATTTGTTTAAATTTAAGAGATAAAAAATATTTCTATTATAATAATCTATTATTATTTTTTTTTTAAAAAAAATTCAAAGTCTTCAAATATTTTGACATTTTATATTTAACTTTTATTTTTTAAATTAACCCATATAAAGAGTCTCACAACTAATATATAATTATGTGATGTTAAATAATCAAAAAAATAAGATACGATGGTGTTATATATGTTTTTGAGGAGCTATTAAATTAGACAAATATTTAATGAATTCTGATTATTTAAAATTAGATTTAGAGAATGGATAAAATAAGTATTTCAAGTGAGTTATATAGGCACTATGTGAATGTGTCTAATAATTTGATATTTCATCCTCTAAAAACTAAATAATCATTTGATATACACTAATCGTTAGGAGTTAGGACATACAAACATCAGATACTCGTAAGTCGTAACACAAAATTCATTTTATCTTTATTTCTTAATGATACAATTAGACATGACGCTCAACAAAATATATGGGAAGAAATCTTAAAAAGATTGAATACTGAATACTTAAGTATAATTATAAGAAAACGTTATAGACAAACAAAAACAAATCGGGGATGTAGCTCATATGGTAGAGCGCTCGCTTCGCATGCGAGAGGCACGGGGTTCGATTCCCCGCATCTCCACCTCTTTAAATTTTTTGAAAATTTCTTGTATCTTCATTATGGATGGATAATTCTATATCTTGATATCTTTCTCTTAAGCAGATAGTTCACAGCTCATTCTATCGATACTGGGAAAGAAAAAAAAAGAATGTTTTGAAAATTTCTTGTATCTTCATTATGGATGGATAATTCTATATCTTGATATCTTTCTCTTGTCTAGCAAATTGAACAGTAAATCGATAGCCATAACAAATGTTTTGGAAAACATCCAACTTATTGTATATTTATTACGATTATTTGTAGCATAATTCATGAAATTTTATGTGAATTCAAAATTTGTTTTTTATTGTTTTAACATCATATAAAATTCATGAAATTTTATATGATTCACGTTCTTATGTTTTTCAATTGTTTATGATTAAATAATAAATTTTCACTATAAAATTCATAGTTGATCCATAAAAAAGTACACAACTTTAATATATATTCACGGAAAATCGAGTAATCTAACTCTTATAAATGATCTTTTTGACAAAAATGGTCATTTTTTCTGTAAAGTAACAACATTCTCCGGAACACATTGTTCTGGAGAGGTCTCCGGAATTCCGGAGTACGGTTTCAGAATACATTTGATTTTTTTTTCTTTTTGCGTGTAAATTTTGCTTTCATAAAATATAATATATGGTTCCAGAATACATTTGTAATACATGGTTCCGAAGTATAATGTATAAGTTTTGCTTTTATAAAATGTATAACTTTTGGTTTTATAAAATATAAAATGCAATTAAAATCAACAAACAACTAATAAATACATAAACTAAATAAAGGATGTGTCTATAGGTCATATTACAAATACAATGTTCAAATTATCTTTGTCCTTGTACCCCCAAAAAATTCCACTAGTCGTTTTCTATAACCTATAGCCCATGAACCAGTGGTTTTACCCTCTATAGAAATCGATTTCACAGTGATCAACGCCTCCAGGAACCAACACAAAAACACCCCACAATCTCCTCTACTGCCAATCTGTTGTGGTACGGCTGGGGCCTTTTCGAGGGTCATCTTGAGGCTCTCAAGTGGGATTGAATCAGTTGGTTCAGTAACCCAATAGTTGAATTGTAACATCCGGATATTTAGGTATTTACCTTTTAACCCCCTTAACATGAGAATTAATTACATTTTCACCCTTAATATGAGAATTGGTTGCAAATTGGTCCATAATGGCATTTTCGTAATTTGGGGAAAAGCTCGCGAATGCTAGGCGTTCCCCCAGGAACGTTGGGCATTCATGCCAGAATCCCAAACCCTAATATTTAGGGTTTGGACCCTGTTTAAACTTCCATAAGTCCCAAGCCTCCTTTCTTTCATCAACCTTTAGCCCCAACTTCGACCTTTGCAAAATTTGAGACTTAGAGTGTGTTTTGGTAAACTTAAAGGAGGGAGAGAGAAGAGAAGATAATCTTGGAGGAGTGGAACACTTTGGATCTAGAATAACATCATTTGACACCTTTTGAAGGTAAAAAACTTTGAACTTGATGAAGCATTGATTAGATCTTGTTTAGTTATGAAATTGAGTTCTTTTGGTCCTACAAGCTTGGTATTATGAGTATGGATTACTCTAATCCACATAAGTTGTCCTTTCAGACGTTTTAAAGCATCTAGAAGCATAAAAATGTGATCTTGGTTGTTAGTTTTCTTCCATGCATGAGTTACAAGGTCTTAATGGGTTAAGTAGTTAGATTTTTTGTGTTTGGGCACTTAATGGCCATGCAAGACTATAAAGTTGGACAATTTATGGTTAAGGATGTTATTTTAAGGCTAGATCTGGAATATGGGAAAAAGAGATTAAGGATTAAGCTCTTAATAAGAAGGAAAAAGACTTAGTCGCGAACGTTGGGCGTTCGTGGTCAGCCATCGCGTTTCTGCTCAAACTAGTGTATGCCAAGTTGTGTTGACCAGGTTTGACTTTTTGACTTTGACCTGGATTTGACCAAGTTTGAACTAAGGGTATTTTGGGTATTATGAGTTGTATTTGAGATTGGTCACTATTTGATGAATAGGTGGCGCTTAGAGCTGATATTTGGAGCAGAAACCTATTCAACTACTTGTTCGGACTGAGATGAGTTTTCCTCACTGTACTTGCGGGTCGAAGGTGTTGAATTAGTGTCTAAGTCCATAACTATATTTGGTATGTACTTGACCCCGTTGTAGCATGGTCCTTTTGGGTTGCCTTTACCGAAGCAACTTGACTGGATGAATAATAGAGAAAGAGGTTATTATGGTTTATTAATATATTATATGAATAATATATTAAAGGAGAAATCATATTTGTTTAATTAATATTGGTCAAGAATTAATTGAGAATTAATTTTGTGGTCAAAAGATATTAATTGAATTAAAGGGACTGGAATTGCAATTATAAGATAATTGGATTTTGGGCTGAGGAACCCTTAGAAA